CTAATCATCAGGGAAATGCAAAGTAAAACCATAATGAAATATCACCTTACACCTGCTAGAAAAGCTATCTTCAAAAAGATAAAAGATAAAAAATGTTGGTGAGAATGTGGAGAAAAGGGAAATCTTACACACTGTTGTGGGAATGTAACTTAGCCATTAAGAAAAAAATATTATTTTTTTAAATTAAAAGTTGAACCACCTTATGATCCAGCAATCTCACTACTGGGTATATATATTCAAAGGAAATTAAATCAGTATGTCAAAGAGATATCAGCATCCCTGTGTTTACTACAGCATTATTTACAATGGGCAAAATATAGAGTCAACCTATAAGTCATCTATCACTGGATGAATGAATGAAAAAACTTTGGAATGTCTACATATGGAGTACTATTCAGCCATAAAAAGAATGAAATCCTGTCATTCGAGAGAACATGAAGGACATTACTTTAAGTGATATAAGCCAGATGTAGAAAGACAAATACTGCATAATCTCCCTCATACGTGGAATCTAAAAGCTGATCTCATGGAAGGACAAACTAGAACAGTGGTTACCAGGGGATTAGGTGGTTAGGGAGAAAAAGAGGATGGGGAGATGTTGATCAAAGTATATAAAGTTACAGTTATACAGGAGCAGGAAAAGGCCTAGAATAGGTGAATATAGAGATTATAGGTAAATATACAGAGACAGAAAATTTATTAAGTGATTGCCTGGAGCCAGCGGTCAGGAGGAGGAGAGGCTCTGGGAGAGAATTTGGGAATGACTGCTAATGGTTATGGAATTTCTGTCTTGGGTGATGAAAATGCTATAAAATTGATTGTGTTGATGGTTGCCTAACTCTGGGAATATACCAAAAAACCATTGGCTTGTACACTTAAAATTGGTGAATTGCATGATACATGAATTATATCTCAATAAAGCTGTTAAGAAGAAAATAAAGAGTTCATTCTCACTGCATGTATACTGGAGGACATTCCAACTTCCTGTAAGTAGACTATTGCTATATACCAGGCAAGAGAGGATAGTAATTTAGATTAAGGTGAAGGTGGTAGATAGGAGGCACAAATAATGGTATTGAGAGATATTTAGAAAATAATATCTGCAAGTATTAATAAAATGGACAGTGGATCATAACTTAAGCATAATGCCTGGCATAGACATTCAGTCTGGTTGATTAGATACTTATAAAGACTGGCAAACTTTCTAACATATCTAAATTCATTCATTCACTCAGTGATCCTTCTATTCATTCGTGAAGGTAAGGATCAAATCTGAATAACTTAAATTCCTTCATAGAACTTTTTCCATCACGTATATATTATATTTCATTGAAATTCACTGAAATTTCACTTAAAACTTAGCTGTAGATTGGGTGCTGAGATTTTTTAAAAATCAAAATATCACAAAAAAAAACAGATTGAGTTTTATTAATTCAAACACAATGCTGAATGGCAGCAAATGGTTTGTGATCACCATAGACAGGTATATTTAACATGCTCAACAAGAAGTCTGTACTAAAAGGACTCAGTGGCACATGAAGCAATGAGTAAGAAGTATGACTTCTGTTTCTAAACACAACAATTCTTCATAATTTTATACTGAAATTGAGACAAATAAATTAAGGAGTCTTAATAGTAGCAATACAGTTATACATATCATTTAAATATGCTTTTTGCTAAAGGACGAATGGATTTCATCAAAATTATTTTTAACCAAATGTTACTGTCATTTAAAATGGTGCTGAGTGCTTTTATAGAGAGATTCGTCTATGGACAACAATGCTGATTATTGGAAAATGAAGGTCTTAAATTGTTTTGCAGTATTATTAACAACATAAATATTGCTAGCAAAAGTTTCAGTTCAATCTGATACAAGAAATGTAAGAAGATTATTTTCTATTGAGAGTCTTTATTTCTCCATGGAGCAGAAACTTAATCTGAGACATTTCAGGGTCATTCTAGCCCCTTTACCCTGAGATTGCATTGAGATGCTGGGCTGCTGACATGGAGTCAAGGCTGCACAGGGTGCAGAGGCTGAGGCAGATGTAAAGACTTTTTTCCTTGGCAATTATCTCTCCAGGCTGACATCTGCTGAGACCTCACTCTACCCAGGTCACTGCAGACTATGCATTTGTCATCTCTGGCATAGATTTACTCTTTCAGGACTTAGATTGTACGTCTAAGCACAGTCTACCATGACATAAATTATCTACAGTTCTAAGGCCAGGAAAACAAAAGAATAGAAATAAACAATGTACTGCAAACCAATCAAATCAAAGATGTACTCTGCTGGTACTAGGTCAAGACAATGTGCAAATGCAGTGATGATTAAGATCAAAGTCACTTCTGTATTATGTTGTTATGTTTTAGGGTAATATAATGAACAGGTTAAAAAGTGCATTCAGTAGGAAGCAAGTCAGAGTAAAACAAGGAGGTAAAGGAAAAAGAATGGACAAAAACTCTGGAAGAATTTATGAATATTTATATGTGTCTCCATTATATTTTCTTTTGAGTATTGCCAATTGTAGCTAGAGAAAAAAGGGGCAGGGATATTTTCTGGCCATTTGTGTTTACATTCAAATTTAGTTTTCTGCGACATAAGCATAAAAGTCTGCCACACAGACAGCCAGGTGGTTATGTTTCCCTGGCCTCATTATTTTGTATGCGTTGCTTCACAACTTCATATCACAGTATGAAGACTGTTAAAAAAGGGAAAAAGACAGAAGCCTAAATCACTTCTATTTAATAGTGAGAATAAATGTGTCTACAAAGCAAAAGGCTCTCCAGGCACAGTACTTTGAGGTTACAGCTCTGCAATTGTGCTGAACTGAAAAGGCATTCCATTTTCTTAGTTTTCAAAGTTGTTTCAGCATTCACATTTTATTTGCAAGTAAGCATGAACAAAACAGTTTCTGATAAACATAAAAAACGTTTTTGCCTCATTATATTAGATGACAAGTGAGATCTTACAGCTTCACACCAAATCAGTGGAAAAACAATTATCTGTAAAAAGTATGTGCAAACATTTTTCTTACAAAGCTAAAGATTCAAGGCAACGTGTCTGGAATTTGTTTCTCCCTTTAGGCTGCCTCCATTCCATGAAACATCTGTCTCAATTTCCGCTCTTCCTGGAGCCTCCTTTTGGTCTCTTTGCAAATCCGTTCCTTCTGAATCCGCCTCATTCTAACCCTACAGATGGAAACCGTATGTCTTTCTGTTTAAGGAAATGTGCCCAATCTTCTCAGCTGGAGATTTCTGGCCAAGCTTTATAGTATCTTCATGTATGGTTTCTAATGTACCCGATTCAGTATAATCTGCTTTGGGTTTGATTTCATGCTTTAAATGATTTAAAGTAAGCATTAGCACATTCATTGATTCTTCTCAGAAACTCTCTGAAGCATAGAGCTGTGAATTAGATATATTTTGGAAAGTGAACTTTAAAAAAAAAATTATACTTCAATAGTACTTATTGATTGCCAGTAGTACTTGTTTCAGCCTAGAGGTACACAGATAAAAGACATAGCTCAAGAGTTTACCATCTAATAGGCTTGGATAGGCACAAAACTGATACAATACAGTGTAGGAAAAGCTGAAATAAAGAGACTGTATGGAAGCACAGAAGAAAGCACAATTCAGAAATGTCAACTAACAAGAGAGTTTAGTGTCTCTTAAAAAGGACAATTTTCATCTGTGATTTGCAATGTATTCAAATATATCAAAAGTGACACTATTATAATAATAAATCTATCTTTAAAATCTTAGGGTTATCTGAAACATCTAGAAAATATCTGGTCTAATTACATAACTATTTTAGAAATGAAAGGAATAGTTTATAAATTATTATGCCGTTAAGTAATTTACAAAGTAACTTGTGTGTTTCTTTGCAATTTTAATGAAAACAAATAAAGAAGGGTAGAAAGGAGCAAGAAGCAATATCGATGTGGTCAAAGGAGAACCTGGGATTTCTGGGGATACCGTGAGGATGTGGACCACAGGGCGTGGGTGCCTGAGGTTGGCACCCCAATCAACTAGAGCACATTTCCAGCCCAAGCTTACAAGGTCAGCAGGGAGGTAGACATTTACTAAGTAACACAAAGGAAAGACATTGAGACAAAGGAGGGAAGATGAAAGTAAGGGTTTGTTCTAAATCCAAAAAGTATTATTAGAAGCAACGACTCATTACTTAAAATGAGCAAATAAGAAAGACAGAAAACAGAGTGAAATCCAAAATATAATCTCTGCAAAAAAAATCTTTGAATAATTTTGCTATTTTATAAATGCTTCCTAGTGTCAACACTCTCCAAAAGGTCAATTTTAACATAACCAAATATCGTTGCCAATATTTATTATTCAAATAATAGTGATAGCATATGAGAAATAGCATATCATAATCAAATTATACAGTTTTTATGTCATTATAATTTTATTTTAGTAAAAAGAATACTTTTTAGTAAAATGCCAGTAGAGGAAATATGAGTTGTTGGTAAGTAACAGAAATATTTGAATCTAGGAAATCAAGGATTGAAAGGACAGGAAAATACACATCAATTTATTAGTTATTATCTTCAATGGGAGTAAAATTAGGGCTGGAGAGTTGAAGGGGACTTCTGGAGTTTACTCTGGATACTTCTGGATTAATTTGAATTTTTCATAACAATAATGTATTCTCACAATGCAATGTAGTGTTAGAAAACAACATGTAAGGCTTTTTAAACCCATGAAATGAACAAACATAATATGATGTTAAAAGACCAAGAAGACAAAAAAAGAAAAAGGGTATTAGAAACAATTTCTGAGATTCCAGAAACAGAATTAATTAAAACCAACAACAATTACTATAACCGTGTATGCGCGCCCCCAAGCGAAGAGGACAGGCACATTGTGTTGAACCTCAGGACAGGACTGACCTCTTGTGGCAAATGTGGGTACATTTTAAATCTGTGTCACTGCCACCCAGGGTGATTGAGAAGGTTGCCTGATGACACTCTGCCTTTTTTCAGATTGAAATAGCGACAGTGATGCCTTCAGGGAACAGAGAGCTCCTCACTCCACCCCCACAGCCCAAAGAAGCCCAGGAGGAGGAGGGGGAGGAGGAATCCACCCCCAGGCTGATCGATGGCTCTTCCCCACAGGAGCCCGAATTCACGGGGGTTCTGGGCCCCCACACCAATGAAGGTCTGTACATCAGCGCTGAATTATAATTGAGTTCGCTTGATCATCCCTCAAACCTGCCAAGCTCCAACTGCACAGGGAACCCACACGACCCAAGGAGAAAGTTCTGGAATAGGCTAGGTTTGAAGCAGGAGTTACACACGTATTCTAGATCGAAACATAAAGCAGTTTTAATAATTCAATTTTGGCCTGATGGAAATGATCAAATAACCAAAGATTTGGAATGGAAATATTTGTCTGGCATCATGACTCAAAACTTTTGGGTGGAATGCATTTCTAGAACAAAGGGTTTTCTATGAGCAAGATGGAATCTATGTCTCTGAGATCAGGCTGCAGCAGTTCAAAGCGATAAGGTGAGAAGGAATGATGATAATAGTGGCAATTGTCATAACAATATTTTACATCGATTGAGCACATACTACCTGTGGACCTAATATCCAGCACTTCACATTATCTCACTTGACTATTACAATCTTCCTGTAAGGATGTTAATATTATTCTTTTCATTATCACTGAGAAAACTATAACTCAAAGAGGATTGTAACTTGCCAGAGATTACAAAGCTATCTGTACACCGGGTTTGAAGCAAGCCTGTTCAGATTCTTGTCTGTGTGTTTATTGGAAAAACATCCTTCTCCTCCTCACTTAATCCTAGAAAACAACAGGGAGAGGAAAAGAGAAAAATATTCCATAACATCAGATACCATTTTGCATAGCCTGAAGATGATCCAAACCAGGGCCTTTAGTTAATGAGAAGGAATTCCTGGTGCTAAATGTGATTCTATGATTTGTCTATATTTATTATTAGAATCTGTCACTGTCAGCCTCAGGGGTACTCAAGAGGACTCACACCAGAACACTTTTACAGAAAACAACATAGTAAGGGAATATAGAAAAATGAGGCATAGTAAGGGAGTATAGAAATTTGAGGTGGGTTCCCATTGCAACGGTCTAGTGAATGAATATTGAATGTCTCTGTACGGCACAAGGAAAATGTGTTGAGTCAAAAATGGATAAACTCTTCTATCAATAATAAACTCTAAATAATAACTAACATTTCTTATACTCACTATGTGCCATGAATTACATTTATTCCTTTAATCCTGACATCAACGCTGTAAGGTAAGGTAAATTCTAGTAACTTAGAACTTATTTTTCTGTAGATACAAAACATTTTTAAATGGCTACTGTTCTTGGATATTTCTGTCTAGTACAGGGAGAGAAACATCTAAACAAATTTAGAGGCAATACTGTGTTTTGCAAAAAGTCTGTACAGAACATATTGGGAGACAAAAGAGAGGGAAGAGCAATATAACATAAGGCAAGACTGAGTAAGAATAAGAGTACAGGAGTCAAAACTGAGACACAACAGCCAAACCATATGTATCTGAATCCCAGCCCTGAGGCTTGCTGGATGTACACTCCTGAGCAAGGCGTTCAATATTTCTTGTGCCTTAGTTTCCTCATCTAAAAAAAGTAGATAATAAATAATAGACTTAATTTCTACAGTTGTTGTCAGAATTAAATGAATGAATATACTGCCTAGCCTATAGTAGGTATAATAAATATTAGTTATTATCAAGATTCTATTAGTGATAGCTTATCCATTTTTTTTTTACTCTTAACAAATTTTCAGTGTACCATACAGTATTGTTAACTATAAATACTATGTTGTATAGCAGATCTCTACACCTTATTCATCCTGCATAACTGAAACTTTACATTCCTTGAATAACACCTCTCCTCTTCCCCTCCATGATAACGTTTGGTAACCACTATTCTACACTTTGCTTCTGTGAGTTTTTAACTGTTCACTAATAAGTAATATTAAAAGTTGCCTTTTATCAAATGCTTCCTATATGCCAGTCAGTTAAAGTGTTTTATGTATATTAACTCTCTGAAGAGAGTCACAACAACACTATGTACTAGGTACTATTTTCTCCATTTTATAAGTAAGAAAAAATAAAACTCCAACATAGTATAAAATTTGTCTAAGATCATGGAGGTGGTAGCTAGTGGTCCTGGTATGCAAATACAGAATACTACATCCTAAGTCGGTGTCTTTACAAAAAGAGGTAGGAAGATACACGCACAGTGAGAAGGAAATGTAAATATCCAGCAGAAATTACCCCAAATAGGAAAATTAAATATCCCTAAAACATTATTTACTTTTAAAAAATTTTACATCCTTCGAAAGTTGACCCATCTGGCATCAATATCTGGGGTCTTTCATCCGATCAGGAATAGCGGAGAAGCATAATGCCCAATAGTTTTAAAAGCTTTAATCAAGTGATGGCTCAATAATGTCAGTTTTAAAACAACAATACAAAAATATGAATTTTTTCTTTTTATTTTTGTCTCTAAAGTAGTCCAAGGATGAATAATAATATTTAAACTCTGATTCATAATTTAATTTTCAGAGAGGAAGCATAAATTCATCAGTTAGTTTTGAAACATTTAAAACATTTAAAAATATATAATATTAACCTTTCATATAAATTTCTAAAATAATATTCTAGAGCCATGTAATGTAGGCTTGAGTTGTGAGGGAAAAAAACTAGAATTAAATTATAACCAATGCAAATATACATAAATTACTATAGGCAATTATTGCTAAATTAGAAAGACCATGAATAGATAGAAGAATAAAATGTCTTACCTCCTACAATTTTTGTGATGGGTAGGACATATTAATTTATAACAATTGGAGAAAGTAGTATTAAATATTTTATAGCTCCCCCTTAAAATTATTTTCCTGACTTTTCATTCTTAAAATAGTTTTCATTCTTGAAGTAGTTATTGTAAATGAGTTTGCTATTTAATGATAGCAATAAGACTTTAGTTGGTGCATTGTTAGTTCTTGATCACAAACCACCAATAGGTCCTCTTACGAGGGTAACCAATGTCCTGGTTTGTCTCGGTGTGAGGAGCTTGGGAAATGAGTGTCTTTCAGTGCTAAAGTCAGGAAATTCCCAGGTAAACCAAGATGAACTGATCACTGAGCAATTCCAAGACATTTTGAAATTCCACCAATCTCTCCTCTTCTAATTTCTGTCATGGCTATTTCACTTTCTCCATGCATCGCTCATCTCACTACCCATCTCTACCTCCTCCCCTAGAGCTCTCACCTCATCAGATAACCTAATCTCCTACTGCACAGAGAAAGTGCAATCTCCCAGTCACCAGGTCCTGCAGCTTTGTGTTTCCAGACATATAATCTACCTACATCTAGATCAGTGCACTCTATTGTCCTCTCCTCCTAAGACACAGAGACACTATCTGTCCTTCCACATGTGGGATGTGTATCCTTTCTATGTGCTTTGAGTTCTATTTCCCACTGCCATCTCATGGTCCCTTTTATATTCAACTCTCCTCCTCTGGATCCCTCCCACTTTAATGGCACCCATTATAAAAACACAAACATGTTTTCTTGCAGTTATAGCTATCTTTCTTTCCTCATTCTTCACCAACATTTCAAGAGCATTTTCTGTATTTGCTGTAATTTTTCCCTGACCTTCAACTTCTCCCTTAGCTGACTGTTATCTGGCTTCCAACCCCATCACTCCACAGATCTTGAAAGTTCTCTGATAATCATTGTAACAATTAATCTAAGAATATTTTTCAGTTAACTGATCTGACATCTCAGCAGCCTTAGGCTATTGACTATTTCCTTAAAACTATCTCTCTACTTGGGCTCCATATCATTGCCTTATCTCGTTTTTCCTCCTTTCCTCTGGTCACTGATTCCTTATCTTCTTTTGAAGCCCACTGTCCTCTATATGACCATTAAACAGAAAGTGAAGGAGGGGGAGGGGCATGTGTGTGTTTGTGACAGAGAGAAAAAAGAAAAGAAAAAGAAAAAGCCTCACTAATATCATTGGCCCTGTTGCCTTCTCTATCACCATTACCCTAGCCAAGCTACCATCTTTAATCTAGACTATAGCTTACCTCCACTCTTCTCACTGCCCTCCCTGAGTCTTCCAACACATCTTTTAGCACAGTGATCTCCTGGCATGCAAATCAGATCGTGTAATATCTCTGCCCATCCTTAGCAAAAGGAATAAAACTCATAGCACAGCCTACACAACCCCTGCAGGTGTACCAAATAGTCCAATGCCTTCTGTGTTTTTGTCACATGGACCATCTTTCAGTTCCTCCAATGTGAGAGACTTGGCACATGCTGCTTTCTCTGCCTGGCATACTTTTTCCTTCCTACCTGCGTAGCCAATTCCTTCTCTTCCTACAGATCTCAACCCAGTTGTCACCTCCTTAAAGAGCCCTTCCATGACTCCCAGACTGGGTCAAATCCCCCTGTGTTATGCTCATATGATAATTCATGATATTTATCTCATTCATACTTATATTTCTGTGATTAACCTTCATCTCATGTAGCATATCATAAAAAGAACTTTTTCTCTTTGTGCTCACCAGTGTTTTACCAGCTATCATGGTGTCATTTATATAGAAAGGATTCAATAATATGTATTTGATATATTTGCTTTTAATATTGCATTTGCAGAAAACTTTATAAGAAAATATAAATTATACTAATGTGGTCTGCATGACACTCTAATCTTGTTTACCAAATCTTCTTAACTACATTATCTCTTAGAAATTGTTTTTGTTACTTACATATAATTTTATTTAACTCTCTCTTTTAGACTTTCCGACCTGCCTTCTGTGTACCTGTATAAGTACCACCGTATACTGTGATGACCACGAACTTGATGCTATTCCTCCATTACCCAAGAACACTGCTTATTTCTATTCCCGCTTTAACAGAATAAAAAAGATCAACAGAAACGACTTTGCAAGCCTAAGTATGGATGACAGTATTAATGTCCTGCTCTTCTTTACAGACTTTTAAAAAATTTTTTACAGTGTAAAGTGTTGGTACTAAGAATTAAACTGGAAGAGGAAATATGGCTCATAAATCAATTAGTTTTTCTTCTTTAATTATAAGGATTTGCTTCAATAATGATAAACAAAAAATTAAATATAAACACATAAATAATTATATTTTATATTCTAGGACTTTTATCATGGTAATGGCATTAAGTGTAAAATGTTATGGTCATATATTTATGAAGAGTTGGCTTTTTTGAATAAGCTTTCATTAAACCATCGTTGCTCTGTGATTAATGAATGTAAGCCTAAATTCTGACTTTATAGTTATTGCCAACTGAGAAGAATTTTGGTATGTGTCTCCATAAAGTGTTTTAATCATTTGAAGATATTTTTAAATGCCTGTGTCTTTGACTATTAGAAAATACAACACTCTCTCATTAATGAGAAAAACATTTTTAAATAGTAGAATCCAAAGTTTATGAAAAATATGGAGAAAAGACCAGTTATTTTAAATATAATGTGCCAATTTCTTAGCTAACGTTACAGTTTTTATAAGTGCATAAATATGAATAGTGTTAGAAATAAATGATTTTTTATCAAATAGTTAAAAGATAATTATTTAATTAACTGTCCATTGTTAATTAAATTCATATTTATATTTGCTATATATGGGAATATTTATATTTAAATTTTATGTGAGCAAACATATACAAGAATATTTAACTTTTTCTTTTCATTGTTTTCTTCTAGATGATTTAAGAAGGATTGATATGACATCAAATTTAATATCTGAGATTGATGAAGATGCATTCCGAAAGCTGCCTCAACTTCGAGAGCTTGTTTTGCGTGACAACAAAATACGGCAGCTCCCAGAATTGCCAACCACTTTGACATTTATTGATATTAGCAACAATAGACTTGGAAGAAAAGGGATAAAGCAAGAGGCATTTAAAGTAAATTTGAAATTTTATATGAAAGACTTTCATCTTCCCATTTCATTCACTAGCCTTTTATATTTCTATAAGAGGATTTAATTTAATGAGATTTTTAACTTCCAAAATAAATGTCACAACCATATCTATCATACTTTTGAGAAATAACATGTTCCGGTACATCCTGAGGTTGGTCAAGCACCAAGAACAGAGAGTACAGCTGGAATAAGAAGTAGGTGTCTGCCTGGAGCACCAGGCTACAAGGAGCATCTGCAAGTGGTGCAAGCCAGAGACTTTGTGTTTACCAAGCCTTCCACTCAGGAAAAGTACTTTATGTGGTTAATAGGATCATGTTTGGGCAGGGTGCAGGTGACATCCTGAGGACAGAAGCCCCTAAAAGACCTTGTAAAGGGGATAGGTTCGGAGAACGTTAGGGATTTTATTTTCTAAGTGAAGGAAGCAGGTTTGGGGCTAGTGGACTTGATTGGAACAACAGCATAGAGTCTACGGCCAGTAACTAACTGGTTTTCTTACCCATCCTTATAGCATTCAAGCTATTCTTTCAAATATACATTGAACAAACAATTTAAAAATATTCTTTGAAGGGATATGAAATTATTCCCAGGGATGTCACAGGAATGAGTATGGACTTATTACCACCAGGTCATGGTGAAAGTCCTGTCTCTTTGCTAGGCCTCCTATTACACCACCAATGTTGGCTTAGGCTACCTCATTATATCCTGGCAAGGGTCAAAGTCTAGTCTGTCCACCTCACCCCTCTTGGCATAGGTGGTGGGGAGTGACAGTTTATTCTGGTGTGTTGGCTAGAATAGACCTGTTATTGTCTGTATGTTTTCTGTCTTGGTATGTTGCCCCTTTTCTGGTACTTGGGATACCAAGCTGCTGTTGATGAGAAAGTCTCATTTCTCTATGTTTATGAAATAAGGCAAATTCTTGCTATGTCTTACCAGAATCGTCAAAATCTCACTGCAGAAAATCTTCCATTGGAAGAAGCTACCTTCCTAGGATTGACAATAACTGAACAAAATAAGGGTCTGCATGGAGATTGAGAACACATTTCATTTTCATAAAGAAATATTTGCTGATGGCCAATTTTTTCAAAACTTATTTGAATTGCCTACGAACTTTGAAAACCAATCTGCCTCAACTTTGTAAAGCAAGACTTGGACAGGCACATGTTATTTTATAAATATTTGCTTGGAGAGGGAATGGAAAATATAACTGTGGCACCATTAATTTTTATTAAGTCCCTACATTTGTAATGTTTACAGGATATGTATGATCTCCATCATCTATACCTCACTGATAACAACTTGGACCACATTCCTCTGCCCCTCCCAGAAAACCTACGGGCCCTTCACCTCCAGGTAGGGTTCTACTCATAAGGTGTGCCGAAAAGCTTTAGGGAAAACAAAACCAAACAGAGGAAGTCAGGACACAAAAATCTGTTTATTATGGCATATTGACATACTATGACAATTTCGCTTCTTTTTCTCCTATCTCTCTCATTCATTCTCTCTCTCAATCTGACTACAAGGTATTTATACATTCATAGGCCTATCTCTCTTGACTTATTTCTGATAATCTTAGTCTTTATTTTTATTCATTTCAAATCAAAATGCATACTTGTAGTAAACAAAGCTTCTTTTGCAATAAATCAAAATCTTTACTTGACGAAGAAATATGTATGGATTAAAAATGGAAGAGAAAAGGGAGAAAGAAAAGTTTAATTTGGCTTCTGGCATTCAGGGCAGAAAAATGTCAATTTCAGGTTTTGATTTTAGATTTTATGTATTGAATTAAATTAAATTCTAAGGCATTCCTATGTGCTGAGAGATGACAAGCCTCCATCTCTCTGGACAAAGAGAGTGCAGTTGCTATTTTTTTTAACCAACATACTTGGAAGTTTGAGTTATTTTAAATCCTATCATACCACATTTTATCTTTGAAGTAATTGAATAAAAACACATTTTTCAAAATTGTTATGATCTAATAGTTTCTAAATATATTTAATTTTCATCCACGTGATTAAAAATTGTTCATTAAACAAACATTTTTGTTGCAACAAAGAAAGATAAATTATTTCTTATTTCAGATGGGATAATGTTTGGTCTACAGCTGTAATCAGCTTTCTCTAAGTTTCATCTGCTATATGGAATAAAATGTAGAGAACACATACATTTTATGCACAGAGAAATAATGTCATAGTCCAATATTAAAAATGTTTAGTAGAAAAAGTGCAAACCACTACAAGAAGTGATTTTGCTATGTAAGAGCACGTCTCTGATTCATGTGTTTATCTTTGTGGATTTTGTAAATATTTACCTCTGTGTCTTTTCTTTTCTTCCTATGAAAATACATTTCCTATACTTTTTGGTTTATTTCTGGGTATATCTGTCTGAGTCTTGGATATCTATTTTTTTGCAAGTTTTTCTGACTGTATTTATTCCTTAATGTCTATACCCTTTCAAGCTCTCATGATGTTTCTGGATGGCTTTCTCTTTGTCTCTTTTTTTCTAGGAATAAATTCCTGTGCATATGAATATTTCTTGCCTTGTTTATGATTGGAGGGAGAATTTTAAAGGGAATCCTTGAAGAAATTTTGAATTTATTTTTCCAATTATGAATTAACTTTTATTACTATTTTCAGGGATGATATTGGTCCCACAAAGTAAGCCGGTCTCTGATGTTATATTTAAACGCAATGTTCCTGGATATAAAATGAGGTGTTTTTTTTTTTTTAATTAATTGGCTTTACATTCCTCCTCTAAATTTTGAAAATCATCAAGTGTAACTTTTAAAATATTTTTCTGTTGAGGCTACCTCACCAACATTCAGTATATGACTGTTTTTAACTTATACCTACTTGGTTGGCTAAAATAGATAATTACAGATGTTGGTTACGATGCAGAGAGAATGAAAATCTTCATATACTACAAGTGAAAGTATAAAATGGTACAGCTATTTTGGAAAATAGTTTAACAATTCCTCAAAATGTTAAACATAGATTTACTATATTGCTCAGTAATTCAATGTCCAGCTGTATACACAAAAGAACTGAACACATATGTCCACACAAAACTTGTATGCAAATGTCCATAGAAGCATTATTCATAAGAGCCAAAATCTGGATTTGGAAACCATCTAAATTTCCATTAACTGATGAATGGATAAACAAATTTTGTTATATCTATACAATGGAATACTAATGGACAATGAAAAAGAATGAAATACCAATATATGCCACAACATGTATGAACTTTGAGAACATGATGCTAAGTGAAAGAATTTAGTCACAAAAGATAATATAAGATTCTATTTATGTGAAATGTGCAGAATAGGAAAGTCCATAGAAACAGAAAATAGACTAGCAGTTGCCAGGGCTTAGGGAGATGGGAATGTGTATGTTTTTTCTCTGGGGAGTGTTGAAAATGTTCTAAAAGTAGATTGCAGTGATGCTTGCACAACTCTGGATATATTAAATATCATTGAGCTATACAATTTAAGTGGCTGAATTTCATGGTATGTGAAACATATTGAGTAAAACTATTTAAAAATTCAGCCCTGGGCCCTGTTTATCTTTCTAATATTTGCTCCCTCCCTCCTTCACTTCACTTCAGCCACATTGACTTGAATAGTGAATGCTGAGGAAGTGATATTCCATGATAATTCCTCAGGACTTTGAACTTGATGTTCTCTCTGCCTAGGATGTTTTTCCCTGGGTCTTTTCATGCCCCTGTCTTCTTGTCATTCCATTCTCAGTTCAATTACAACCTCTTAAGATAATTTTTCACAGTCACCATCCTTTCTTCATAATGCTCACCATTTTTGTAAATACCATTTTTAAAGATTTATTTTATTACCTCTTTATCTTATATTTCCCCTACTGAAGTGTAAGCTCTATTAGGGCAAGACCATGTCTATTTTTTCTTAATTGATTTATCTCCATTGCCTAGAATACTTGGCATATAGATTATGTAATATTGATTGAGGGAAGGAACAAAAGAATAAAAACAAGGATGAAGCAAAATGAAATAGGGTATCAATCAGTACTAGGAATATGTTATATGTTTTCTTATATTTATTTTCATCTCTTTTAGAATAACAACATTCTGGAGATGCATGAAGATACATTCTGCAATGTTAAAAATTTGACTTATATTCGTAAGGCACTAGAGGACATTCGATTGGATGGAAACCCTATCAATCTCAGCAAAACTCCTCAAGCATACTTGTGTCTACCTCGTTTGCCTATTGGGAGCCTTGTCTAATTTCAGATAATGGTTAGCATTATGAGGCCTACCATAGCAAAACAATTCTTACTGCTTTCTTCAAAAACAAAACTCAGCATGATACTTTCAAATCATGTTCTGAAAGATGAAAATAATTACATGAAATATTTAATACAACTAAAAGTGTTAAATTCTGATGAAAATTTAATAATTTAAGAAAACACTAAATGGGGTAAGAATAAATTTACAAGATGTACAGAAAGAACAAAACTAAGTGATACAAAATATTTCACAGATATTCTTATAAATCACATATAACTTGCAAATTTTAGGGGTTCATATCCTATATAATTTCAAGTTAAGTCTGTAATAAAGAAAAGTTTTAAAACACTTCAGCTATTTTGCCAAGATTTAGATGTTTTTAATTAAACCTTTGTATTCCTTTTTTTCACTAAAGCATGTTTTTTTCCCCTAATTCATTAAAGCATGAAGAAAAGAATAAATGTATTTGAAAATTACAATGGCCTTGTGGGGAAATATTCATTATAATCACACTATGCAAATAACCATATACCACAATAATACACATAACTTTCACCTGTTGAATGATAACATTTTATCATCTTAAAGACCTATCAACTTCTTTTAGACCTTTGGTAAACTTATTTGTTACTTGGTGTATTTATGCAAAAAATAAAATAAAATATGGAAAATAGAAAATATAGAAGATAATATGATACCTACATTAGAGAAGATGTTAAGGAATATCTTCTAAGAAGAGTTGATCTTTCCAAAATGTTTAATCATAATACAGGCACATGGTTAAAAACTGAATGACTAAAGAGTAACCAATGAAAGGTGAATTTCCTTCCAGCTGTAAGAGCCCAAGTTCTACTCCCTAGAAATAATGTTTTCTTGTATACCTTTATGTAGTTTTCCATGATAAAAAAAACTAACATATATGTAATTTCTTTTTTACACAAATATAAATGTGCAAGTGCTACACATATATACATTTCACTATTATGTATGTATCTATACATAAAAACATGCATTCTTAAGTACAAACAATAATCATTATTCTGAACCTTTCTTGTTTCACTTAAAAATATTTCTTGGTGATCTTTCCATATCAGCACATACAGCTCTATCGATTCTGAAAACCACATATCAGTATATCACATGGATGCACAATTTTTGTACTTATGCCAAAACTACACAGAATAACCTTGCTTTAAAAAAATATATATATATATATGAAAGTAAAAGAGTTTATTGTATCCTTTTAGAAGGACAGAGAGAAAAAGAGACAAAGAAAAGGATGGAGACAGATGACATGGCATCCCAAAGAAAGAGAAGGAAGTTGCCAGCCAGAATACTCTTGCTTGAACATAAATAACTTTGTGGACATGTGAGAGAATGTCTATGCAAAATTTCATAGAAGTAGAATTATGGGTCAAATATTATTATTTTAAATTTTAATAAATGTTACTAAATTTCCCTTCCAAGGTATTATACCCACTTAAACTTTCACCGACAGTGTGGGAGAGTACACAATTCTCTACAATCTCACTAAGATGAAAAGTTTGTTATTAAATCTATCTCTGAATTAATATATATATTAAAAAATGAGACAATTGGCAATACACTTCCTTTAATATTTAAAAATACTACATGTACATATTTCAATTATATATTTAAATCAAATATATTTCTACATCTAAATTATCTGAATTTTTTCTCATTGCTCCACACCATTTATTATACTATGGACAAATCCAAAACTTCTAAAATAAAATGATTAGGGAGCATGATTCTAATATGTCTACATGTAAGATGCATAAGCATTTTCCTGTGTCGATTTAGAAGTGAAAATATTAATATCTTTAATAACAAAAAGTATATATTAATTTGCTTGAGACCTATTGAGCATTCCAGCATGCATTTAATCAGAGTCTGTATATCCCAAAGTTGAAAAGCTTAAAATAGAATAACCATCCAACCATCAACTGCCACAAACCAGTGTCATTTAAAAATATGTTGAGTTTTTGTTTTGACTTTTAGATACACTCCCTCATAACTACATAACTGGGAACCAGATTGAAAGTAAAATTTTATTCAAATGTTGTATATCTACATTAGATTTCTATTGATGCTAGAAAAAAATTGCCCCCAAATTAGCAGCTAAAACAACACCTATTTATTATCTCACAGTTTCTCTAGATCAGAAGTTACCCATGACTCACTTAGGTCCTGCACTTAAGATTTCACAAGACTAAAATCCAGGTGTTACTGGCTAGGCTCTTACCTGATGGAAATAATCCACTTCCAAGCTTATTCAGTTTGTTGGAAGAATTTTTTCCTTGTGATTTTAGGACTGAGGTCCTCAATTCCTGGTTGTCCATCAGGGGCCCCTCACATCTTCTGGAGGATGCCCACATTCCTCATTACATGACCCCTTCCATTTTCAAAGCCAACAATGGCATGTGAAATCCTTTTTGCTTTTAATATCTATTTCCTTTTCTGCTGTTATCCAGAGAAAATTAAAATCTGCTGTTAAAGTGCTCATTGGATAGGTCAGGCCCACCTGACTAACCTCCATATGTTAAGATCACATGATTTGTGACTTTAATTACATCTGAAAAAATTTTAAAGACAATACTATTTAAAGGAATGTTTGAATAACCAGAGGGCAAGAATCACAAACAGCCATTTTAAAATTCTACCTACCACAATCTCAAGTCCTAATAGTATGATTTTTATTTTAGAAAATAATATGTATATATGTGTGTGTGTGTATATATATATATGTATATACCTATCACAGCCTACAAAAAAAGCCCTAATAGTATTAAACAAATGGTGATTCCCTGTAGATGATGACTTTTCTTCTCTACTCTTAAACAGATAGAAAATAGAGATGGTACCTTAGTAACATTTAATAAAGCCAATTTACTGTTATATCTCAGACATAGAATAGTTATTCTTTGGTCATGTCTCCATGTGGACAAATAAACAGACAAAGAGTATCCCTGACTTTTCTAGTTCTGATTTTCAAGGAGGCAGCCAAATGGATGATTTGGTTTTGATTCATTTGTTACAGTTTAAGAGAAAGAATTGCAATGGTCCTTCAAAAAATTCAGTTATTTTAAACATATAAACATATGTTTAGCCAACACTACCTTCAATTGTTACTTTTGTTAGCATTCATGGGAAATACGAAGAAAATTAACATGGGAAAAAGCAAAATCACCTGTTTTTTTTTCTTACTGTGTTTGCATTTTAATTAGGTTAAATGATTAATACTGTCAGTGGACAAATTGGTAGCTCCCAGAATGTCCATAGAGTTATTATTAGAACTTTACACAAGATTAAGTTATTTAGAATAATAAGAACTACACCACATCATTGCTATAGAATAGAAGATGGTAAAATACAAGAGACCACAAGAGAGTATATTTCAGTGGATAGTGTCAGAAAATCCTTTTTAGGCCATGAGACTAACTTTGAAGCATACCAAATGCTATCTTAAAGTTAATCCATTGTTACAATAGCAACCAATTATTGGGCACAAACTATGTGCCAGGCACTCTGCTCAAGTGTTCAGTATGTATTAATTCACAGTATCCTAGGAGCCGGAGATAATAATTATTCCAACTCACAAAGCAGAAGAGAGAGCTTAAATAACTTGCCAGAGGCCAACAGCTGACTCCCACATCCTGTGCTATTCTACTCCTTTGTTGTACCTCAGATACCACAGGCATGCCTTTTTCCTGTTTTGTAATACAAGAAAATTGTGGACAGGCTGGACAGAGATGCAAAGGTCAGCACTGTATTTTTGTATGCGACAGTGACTTCCAAATGACCAAGGGCCTTCTTTCATGTCACAATGGAGGAACAATTTAAAATACCTGGCCTCCAAAAAATTAGCAGAAAGGTGGATTAAGATCCTTAGGGCCATGGGGTTAAAAGTTTAGGGCCCACAATAATTGTTGGAACCTATGAAAATGTTTAACTTTTTTAAAAATAAAAACAGAACATGGTAATAATAAAGATAATAAATATGCAATAATCAGCATGGATTATTTTCTTTGTTACAGCAACAAACCATATAATATTATTATTACTATTTTTTTTAATGGAGGCAGGTGCCTAGGACAGTCATAATGAGGCCCTGCATGCAAGAACAGTATGGATTATATCAGATCCCCCCATGAATGGCATAGAATATCTTTCTGTTCTCACAGCCTTCTCAGTATAGCATTATTGCAAAATCTAGGGGATAGGAGGGGATATTTGTAGCAATGAATTATGAAAAGAAAAGAGTAAAATAGTAGGATGAAAAAGGTTCATTATGGAAATGTTATGGTGCTAATTGACATTCTCACAGGTGTAATGATGACTATTCACAAGGTTACTTACCAGAGGTAGTTCACCATGAACTCTAGGACAAAAAGGACTACTGTAAAACTGAAAATGTGATGATGACAATTTAGCAATCCTGCTAACTGTAACATATTTAAATGGCCATTTCAGATGCTTCATATTCTTAATTGACAGCTCTAATTTTAAAACTGACCTCTGATTAAGCACTATATATATATATATATATATATATTTAATAATCCAACATTTTTCCCTATTCGATAGCCACTCATGTTTATTTTTTCTAAATATTACAAGTTATTTGCCAAGAAAAAAACTCTGCATTCTATTGCTCCAGAATATATTGTACATTAAAATTATTTATAACCACACATGTCTAGGTTAACAATACCTATCAAAGCATTACCGAGTATACATGTTTTTCAGACGTCATCACTACAATATGTTGTGTTAATCCTCTGGAAATCTTGACTGCTATAGGATTAATAATATTTTCAAAAAGTGACAACAAATAATACCTACACATAGTACTATTATGAGTGGAAAATTGACATTCTTCTCTTTAAATCTATAGAAACATTGTCTTTGTCATTATAGTTCACTACCTCTTCATAATTTGCTTTAAATGATTTGAGGATTCATAAATGGACAAATGCCACAACTGTATTCCATTATATACAACATATTTCACAAATTTTCAAGCTAACCCTACAATTTCTTAAATTATTAAGACAAAGTGATAAGTAATTTTGAATCTCCTTATTTCATCTTTGAAAACCTAAAAAGGCTTAATATTAAATACTCTGTACTTAGACGCTGTGACCACAAGATGGCGCTGACCTTTTTGGTTTTAAAATCCTATGTGTAGATGTCGTTGTCCAAAAAGGCAAGTCTTTGAGGGTGCATGACATGCATTGTTTTTTGTCTTTGTTTTGTTTTGTTTTGTTTTGTTTTTGGAATCCTAGCACCGCATTTGTTACATAGATGAATCTAAAAACTATCTGCTGAATTTCATTTATCTGACCATATCAGGCGTATCCAACTTCTCTCTGAAGAATTTTATTTACCAGTTTAACTAGCTAAGGTTCATTTCATAAAAGCCAATCAAAAAAGGTTAAAATCTAATATATAT